GTTGGTGGGCCAAATCAAATGGCTTGGCGGGCCAAACTTGGCCCGCGGGCCCCACTTTGGGCTCCTCTGTGCTAAAGGGATTATGTATCCTCTCAGGCCTGGGTACAGCTCGAGGTCCACCAGGACAAGCTGGAAATTGTGGTTGGGGAGAGAGGGACATCTGAGTTTCTCTCCTAGACCTGTGGCCACTGTAACTCAAATACAGATAAGCGGCAGCAGATGGATGGATGATTACAGTAAAAATATTAATATTAAGACAAAAAACATGCTCTAAATTCATATCTACAAATGCATCCAATCGTAAATAACTGAGATAGTAATCATCTGACTTTTTGTAAAAGTACCTGCCATCCTTTGTTGACAATCACTGCAGGTATGGAGATGTAGGTCTTCATACCAGGAGAGAGATAGAGACCTGTACTCACCCAGTCCTCTCCACCTGTTAAACACACACACAAACACATATGCACTGTAAAGGTAGTAACATGTGTTTTTATTATTATTTTATATAACCAATGAAGTAACAGCTCAGATACGTATAGTGTACATGAGTTTCAACTCATTAATAATTCACGTGACATTCATATTTAAAATCCCAACCTTCTGTGTTAACATTGATCTTGATTTTGTGGTTGTAGACAACTGGCAGCAGTGGGTTATCCTGGATGAGGTGGGGCAGAAGGGCATCTGGATCTGGGCAAACCTTATAAACCTCTGCCCCCACACTGAGAAGAAGGTGGTCTTTTGGACTTTTGATGGGACAGGAGTCACTAACCTTGGCAATGAAAATGAGGAAATTAAGGGTTGAGGTATAATAAACTCTGGTTTACATGTTCAAAAAAGCATCAACCACTATAGTTTTGTGTTGTTCCATAAACATGTTTTAAAAGGTGTAAATTTCATCCTGTGTGCTCACCTGTGGCAGACCTGACTTCTTTAAGACATCTGTGAGTGTGGCCACTACTTGTGTGTAGGAGCAGCAGTTATGAGCTTTCATATTCAAGTAGGTGGCACAGTCGGTACCCAGCTTCTTGAGATGTTCTTCCTCATGTTTGCTGAGTTCTTCACCCACAGTTACATGTCTGGCAAAGCGATGTAGAAGGTGACGGAAGTGGTAGGTGTTTTTCATAGCCTGGCTGGGAACAGGAGCCTTGTATACACCTCCGGAAAGTGTTGTCCCCAACAGGCTCAAACCCATTTTGTTCAGGATTTTGTTCCCTGAGCAACATTGTAACAAATTGGTGGAATTATGAGGAGATCTGTGTAATGGCATCTCTAAATCTCAATGAAAAAATCAGTGTAAAGAGTGGACTAAAAGAGAAACATGTCAATTCAGAGAATTGTAAGTTCAAGTTTTTATAGCTAAAGGTGTTTCCACAAGCGTTTAAACCACGAGGTGTACTTGTGCTGACATTTTACCATGACTGTATTTGTTGGGCAAAAGCTGGTAAAGTCACAGCCGATTTTTTTGATTGGAACTACTGTACTTGTCTGAAGCACTTTGATTTCTTTACCTAAAATTTACCAAAATTGGCTTTCTTGAGCTTTATCTCATTTTATAATGTCATTCCCTCATCAAACACATGCCCAGAGTGTTGCTTTGAATATTTATGCATGCTTGACACATCCTTGAACCTCCTGTGGCAGCACATGAAAAAAATTGGCATATCTTCTCTGCCATTGCCAAAAAACTTATTTTGCTGTGGCTATTGACACTTGTGATGAGCTTCTGGTACCCCCAGGTGCTGCCAATCATTCTTACAACAAATAAATCTACCAAACACAAATTTCCCTAATTTTTCTGCTAAGTAAATTTACTGACACTCTGTCTTGTCCACTAGATGTCTTCAGTACCAACATTTTTGATTAAAATTATTTTTGTTAAAATTCTTGTCTTTCATTATTGATAGTTTCAGTTTAAATATACATCTTTAAGTCTCTTTACAGTAATTCTTTGACAGTAATTTCAATGTCCAGTTCACTTTCTCATCATTGTATTACATAGCCTGTGGTGTCCTTGCAACATACAAATCTACTATTTGAAATGTAAGTATGAAACCTTTTTTTTATAGTGATTGAAACTAACCGGCACCACCACAAAGGAAGCTGGAAGACTAAAAATTAGGTTGTCCAGCAATAACTACTCATGTGAACCAACAATTACTTTAACTCTTAAGTATCTTGTCACTGCAGTGAAGTATGTTGCTCATGCTAAATAGAATCAGACTGTGGAACCTGGACAAACAGGATTCTTATCTTTAAATGTTAGGCAGAAAGGCATTTACAAAACACTATTTAAAAAGACAGCTCCATCACTGGCCTCATTGATATAATCAAACATCTCCACCCATGAGATGGGTGACACTGACATACTTCGTTCTGCAACAAAAATAACTAAGAGACAATGTAAAAATGATGAACTTATCTTGCCAAAACGACAGCCTTTTAATGACTCATGCATGCTAAGTATGTAGACCTCTTCTCTAAAAGATGAAATCCCTCCTAAAATGTGTGTAAGCCTGGTGATTAGCTGGAAAAAAGTATCTTACGATTGAGCAACCCAACAAATGTTTCTTCACCAATTAGCCATGTTTGGTTGTAGTTAAAACAGTTTCCTCAGTGATGAGCAAATCATTTCTAACTTTTTAGTGTGCCTTTACTGCATTATAGTTGATATTTTGTTTTTCTCCATTAAAAATAATTGCTATAAAAAGGAAAGAATGATCATTTCCTTGCAAGTGAGAAAACTTGAAAGAAATCAACAGAGGATAAAAATGATTATTTTCTCTTATCGAATTCTTGTTATCATACCTGAAAACTCAGTTAATGGGTTTTTTCCACGGTGCATTTGTGCCCAGTACCAGGCATGTCCACCCATCAGAAGACCTCCACCCTCTGCTACAAAGTTTTGGATTTCTTCCAGATGGTCACTGATGGATGCTGTGCACACAAACACACTCAGGTCCTTTTTGAAGCCTGTTTTCTTGCACTGCAGACCTGACTTGGAAACCATTGCGAGGGCTTTGTCGGGTGCTACACCAACAACTCCCCTGCGGCCTTCATCCAGCCAGTGAATAGCACTGGTCCAAAATCGAGCCAATTCCTGTGTTAAAAACAGTTATTACAAAAACAAACCAAAAAAATAAAAATAAACACAAAATATAAATTAATGTCACAAGTGTCAAATGTACTGTCTTAAATTTGTCAGATTAAAATTGAAGAAATTAATTACTTGTTATTTCCACTATTTTATCAGACTTTTTACAAGGACTTGTTCAAGAGTTTTTCCAGTGGGTGACCCCACCTGCTTCAGCTCGACTTTTAGTACATATTCAGTCAAATGGGTACTAAACCACTGAAGATTTAATGTCAGCAGACTGCAGGCCATTGACTGGCCAAAGGGCCACATCAATCATGAGAGTGTCTCCCTCAAACCCCCAGAAGTTTCTGTGCTTGCTGGCTGACAACAGAATTTAGAAGGATATAGACCAAATGGACTTGATTTATGGGCTTCAATCAGCAGAGGAAAGGTGGCCTAATGAGTGTTCTGGGACTTCATTTCATTATTTACTCATGGTAAGCTTGCACTGAACATAGAGATTTTGAAAGCAATGCTATTGTCAAGCAAAATTGCTATGATTATCCCACCCAGAGGTGACACTCATAAAAAAAATAAACTGTGTAGACAAAGTAATGGAGCAAGATGTCATGAGATTGGACAGTGGAAAAACTGCAAAACTATCATAAGTTAACCCTTTAGTAAATAAAATTCACCTCGTTCCACAGAAGTCCTTCATGTGTCACCACGATGACCCGGCCCTGGCCATAGTAGGCTCCAGCCAGGAATGCCTGTCCATTGTCTGTTGTACCAATTGGGAAGGCAAGTGGACCATGGACCAGAACTTCAGACGCAGTTAGTCCATTTGGGAGGGTAAACTCTGATACCCCCTGGAGTAAGAACTGCAAGTCATCCTCAAAATCCTTACCTAATCTGTAGTTGAAAAGTAAAGAGGGAAAAAACAGTGATATAGACAATGACACAAAGAAGAGTTAAGAAAAAGTGTATTCTATCATCTCCATCTTCTTTCGCTTATCTGGGAGTAGTAGGGAAATCCAGAGATCCCTCTCCCCAGGGACACTCTGTGAGGATCTGTGTCTGGTGTGTGCTTTCTGTTGTCTTGTGCTCTGCCTGCACCTAGTGTTCCTCTTGTGTCCTACGCTTTCATCTCAGTCCTTAGTTTTCCAGCTCCCTCTAGATTGTTCTTTCACACCTGTCTGCACTTTGTAATCACTCAGCTGTTTCCACTTCCACTCATCCCAGTGTAGGGGTCACCTCAAGTGAAGAAACAAGATTTTCTGCCTCTAAGCAGGCCTCGGACAGGCCTGACGAGAGGACAGGAACTCTGTTACAAACTGAACTCTATTTAGGATATGACAGGTCATTCTAACCGTGGAAGAGAACCCCTCAGTTTTCTTAATCAGATAATGGACAGAACAATCTCTTCTGTTTGAGATTCATTTGTCATTTAACTAAGAATGTTTATGCATTTGTTAAATCATGATAATGACTGTCACAGGAAAAGTGGAACGACTTCTTTTCTCTTATCGTGCTTTAAAGATTTATAATGGTATAAAAAATCACAGAGAATCTGATTACAATGTTTTCATTGTGTTTTTATGTAAATCACTGTTTTTATTATACTGTGAACACAGTAATATAATTGTGGATTTTTCCTGAGAAAATCTTTCATTTATCTGGACTAAAAGAATGGTTCATGGCTGATTATAAAACAGAAATGTTATAGTTAATCATCATAAATGTTTTGCAGTGACTTCTTTTAGCCTATCAGAAGTTGGGGTGTGTAAAGTGCTATATAAATAAAGTTTTGATTGATTGATTGATTGATTGATTGATTGATTGATTGATTGATTGATTGATTGATTGATTGATTGATTGGTTGGTTGTTAGGTTGGTTGGTTGGTTGATTGATTGATTGATTGATTGATTGATTGGTTGGTTGATTGGTTGATTGGTGGACGAGGTCCGCCCTGATTTTCAAAAGGTTCTGAGTGTTATGGGGCTATCTTGGTTGACACACCAGCTTTTTACCCTTCCTCAAGTGATCATGGAAATTTGCCAATCTGCATGTTATTTTTGTGGACTTGGAGAAGACATTTGAACGTATTCCTCTAGGTTCACTGTAGGGGGGGGGGGGTGCTCTGCGAGTTTGGGATTGAGGTTCCGTTGGTATGGGCTATTCAGTCCCTACAAAAGTGATGCGAGATTCTGGCTTGCATTGCCAACAGTATTGGTATTGGTAAATGGGAATGGGAATGGGTAAAAACCCATGTGAGAGGGGGCCTCATAAGTGGGCCCATTACTCTCCCAAAAGAGACACTAAGCTTTTAATCAACCTTCACGTCCCTCAGAAGAAGGACACCAGATTAGAAAAACTCAGTGTTCTGAGCTTCTCGGAATCCATAAAAGGCTCTCCAAGAACTAACAGTAAGTCAGATGCCCTCAGGGTAGGTGTTGGACTCTGTCAGGGAAGCCCGTTGTACGCAGCCGAGGATACTTGGCTCAAGCTGCTTCCCCTGCGACCTTACTCCAGAACAAAGCAGAACATATGTCCTGCTGCATCTCAGTATACCAAGTAGAACATTTTTGTTCTTCTTTTTGAAAAAAATAAAAATAAAAAAACAAACATTTAGTCTATCCTCTCCTATTCAATCTGAGGAGTTTCAGGTAAACTCAGCCTTATAAGCAGTGCATCCACTTGGTGGACAAACAAGTTTAATGATGACAATCAAAATTGGTGTTAACATGCAAAGTGTACCACCAGCTTAACAATAGATGATTAGTGCCCTGATTGTCCCCATTGTTCAGCAGAAGATAATGGATGGAAGAACGTTAATAATGTTAATGATTCTGTGCAGGGTCTTATAGAGCTGTTGCCTACAGTGACACATCAAGTGTGTGCCTGGTCATTTTCATATAGATATGTGCATACTGTAAACGTATGAGTGCAAAATTGAAACAAATTAGTTCCGACTGCTATGAAATGTTAACTATTGTGTAGAAAAAATGTGTAAAATTTGACCTAAGTACAAAGCTTTTAGCACATTTTTTTCCTCAATCTAAAAGTCTACCATTTACCAACAAATACTACTTCAAAAAAATGTAATACTCATGAGGGTTGATAAATTTGGGACAAAACATGTACATAAAATGAAATAGCAAATTAAGGATCATAACTTCAGTGAAAATTAAGTTATTATAAAAAAACAATTTTAAAGCAAAACTTCACAAAATATGAGAATAATTTTCTTTCTCTAAATTAGAGAGGAAACTTTCTGGATAAAAACAAAAAAACCTAAAGTGTACACTTACACTAAAGCCATAAAGGAGGATGGAATCTGCGGGTACACAGGAAGGTTTTCTAGCTCAGCAGGATGATCTGAGATGTAGACCCCTGCAACACCAGACACCTTGTTCCCATCAAAATTCAACAAGGTGTTCTCCTTTGGGGGATCTGCAGCCCAGCTCCACGCCTGACCCGCCATCAGCACTCCCCCTCCTGCTTTCAGAAACGCCACCAGGTCCTTCGGGTCAGCGCCCACGCTGTATGCATCTGTCACATACACAGCAGCTTTCAGGTCGTTACTAAAGGATCCCACCACTTCTGTTTGGAAGCTGGACCTGCTGAGGTTGTCGGCCACGGCCTGGACGTTTCTGTGCACGGCTACAGAAGGGTTGTCTGATCCATCTCCTCTCAGCCACTTCAGGGCGTTCTCCACCAGAGCAGGAAATAAAGTCAGGTAGTACTCATGACCGAGGACAACAATTCTCCCACTGCCGTACAGAGAGGCAGCCATCAGAACCTGGCCTTGGCTGTTCATGGCTAAAGGAAAGGAATGGTCTCCGATCAGAACCAGGTCGCTGGGTACACTGGGGCCACGGAAGTCCAGCTGTTTTAGACCTTGCATTAAAGACATGTAGGCAATTTCATGATCTCTTTGGACTGCCTGGTTAGACATGGTGAGATTAATTTGAGCTTGAAATATCTATAAAGAAACTGGAGAGCAGGACACTTTTCAAAAATGTTTTCAAAATAATTTGTTTATCTTCAATAGACGAGTGCTGTGTCAGGTCCTGTCGGGGAAGAAAAGACTAATATTGATGGCTCTCGTGACAATCAAGTAAAAACAAAAACACATCAATTCCCAATTCCTTTGAAGATAAATATCTGCTTAGATCATTTTCTTTGCAACAAATCAATCCTAAAAGCACAATACCTTTAAGTTTGCTTCGCTGTTCCAGCAGGGTTTTCCAGACATGCGATGTTTGAACAAACACTACCTGCCTGAGCAGAAGGCAGATTGTAGATGTGAACCAGGGAGGGAGTGACTGAGAAACATATACAAAAATAGAAACATTTTAGAGAAGACAATCCAGTGACTGGCTGTACGTAAAAAAGAACACAAGCATGTCAACATGTTTAGTTTGTAACATCCTGAAGCACAGGAAAATCCTGCTTATCATGTGTGATCCACACTGTAATATTTGTGGGTGGTAACAATATGACACCATATTCAGGTGATAAAATAAATGCAGTATAAATGTCTTTGGTTGTTTTTTCAAGAAATTAATGATTAGGAGCGAAATGGAAGAACTTTTCAAGTCACCTTTTGATAATTAAACTGGTGCAGAAATTGAGCAACATGAGAATTAGACTTCCTGAGAACAAGACCCCAATAAGATGTCAGACATTATGTATCTATCCTCTTCCTGAGCCCCACCTTCTACTCCCTCTTCATCCATGACTGCTACACAATTTCACCCTCCCAATGTTGTTGTCAAATTTTCTGATAACCATCATTGTGGGACTGATTTCAGGTAATAGACAGCTTACAGAGAGGATGAGGGTCTGCTCCTGACACAGTGATGTTTTCACAATGACGTGAACTTCAGGTACGCAAATATCGAAGAACCCATCAACATCACATGGCATAGAACTCTGCATGCATGGAGAATAAGTCTGAAGACCAGAAAGCTTTGAGTTTTTAGGTGTTCAAGTCTCAGCTGACCTCACCTGACCCGAACACATGTACAAACAGGCAGGGACGGCACAACAAACACTTCCTCATAAAACTAAAGCTTGCTTACCTTCCTCATCACCCGCTGAACAACCGGACCTACCTATGTACAGTGTGGGTGTGGTTTATTATCTGCACATGTAAAACCAGAGAGGACATGCAGCTAATAGCGAGGGCAGGTGGGGGCAGGTAAAAAGATAACAAATAACTGATTGAGAATGTCCTGATGCATCTCAGTAATCCAGGTAAAAAAAAAATCAAAAAGGAAAAAAATTGTACAGGTCTTCTGGACGGGTTCTTCTTTAATGAAACGTTTCGTCTCTCCTCCAAGAGACTTCTTCAGTCTGAGAGTTTCAGGCAAAATTCAGGCTTTTAAGCCCTGCCTCCATGTGACTGATACTCACATCACATGGCTATCCTTGACACCTAATTAACACCTATTGTTAACAGGGGTGGAGTGATACTGGCAATAGCAGCACTATAGGAGGGGGACAACTGAAAACGGAGGCCTCCACCTCTGTTTAATGATGGACGGTCTGATTGACTGACTAACTAACTGATTGAGAAATTAACATCCATCTTTATCCACAGAAAACATGCCACAAATTGTAACATTCGCGTTGATATTGATTCAGGAAATTAATGTCTGCCCCACTAATTATTATGCTCACGAGCCGCTACTGATAAACAGAGAAATATCCATCTACACTTCTCTATGACAAAAGAACTCCTGCCTGACTGCAGTTTGTTACATTTTGTTTTTATTTATTTATTTTCCTTTTCAAAGGAAAGACTTTTGTTGCAAGCTTTTCCAGATCTGATGACTGTGGAAGTAGCCACTGAAACAGCTGTGTGGCGAAATGTAACGTGTCTGATCACAGAGAGTGCAAAGTGATGACACCACTCACCACCTCAAAAATGAATCCAGCACCTCTGTCAACTAAGTGCTGATGAAGCTGTTCATTGTTTCAAGCAGCTTTTCATACTTTTGGCCACAAGACGGCACCAAAGGATTGGAAAACTTTGAGAAACGAACCGTTTTCAAAGCAAACTTAAATGCTTCAGAGAAGATTCATTTGTTCATCATTACTTCAAAGATTAGAGGCAACGAACATTAACAAATGTGAGAAATGTTCCAGCGAAGAAGATCCTCCAAGCAGCCTCTTAAAACCCTGGAGCTCATTAGTGGGATGCCGGCCAGGGTCCTGCAGGTGAAAATGCCAGACTCTTCCACTTTCTATTTTATTCTATTCTGAGAACTGGGATTCACTGATATTTTTTTAAAGTTTTTAGCAGCAGTTTCTTTAAAACAAATCAAATGTGCACATGAATCAAGCAAAAAATATATATATGTTAATTTGTTAACTGAAGATCATTATTGTTTGAATTTATACTTGAGGAAAAAGGGGCAGACACAATTAGATTTTTTCTTCTCTGCCGCCTTTCTTTTAATTTTATTTGAATTTTCTTTTTATTGTACATAGAATTACTTTTGTTTTTTTAAGAAATGAATAAAGTTTGAAATCTAAGGAAAAAATCATCAATCAGAATTTCTATTATTGTTTACACATTTTTTAACAAGTGTAGCTGATTTCATCACAAAAAATGACCTTTACCAAACAGTTTATGCAGCATGTATACTAATTTTAAACTAAAAATTGTTTATGATAGCCATGTGATGTATGAGTCACCTGTGAACCATAGCCATGTGATGTGAGTATCAGTCACCTGGAGGCAGGACTTAAAAGCCTGAATTTTGCCTGAAACTCTCAGACTGAAGAAGTCTCTTGGAAGAGAGACGAAACGTTTCATTAGAGAAGAACCCGTCCAGAGGACCTATTCAATTTTTTTTTCCTTTTAAAAATTGTTTACTTTTTAGGTACTAATCTGAGATATACTTAACCAAGTTTATCTTTCACTACGCTTGGCTTTCACTCAAAACATGCTAAAATTATAAATGTAGTCTATACTTTGGTTTAAACTTTTGGCCAAGATAAAATGAAGTAGTAGTACACTGATTTTCACACGGACTGCTTTGTTTGTAAGAGGAAAAAAGTAGCGTGCACAACTCCAATGTAAAAAAAAAGGTGACGAATAAAACTGTGCCTGGTTCTAAATAATTAAAAAGTAGGAATCACCAGCATTAGGAGCATATTTTCTCCTTGAAATTTTAAGACATAGACATTTTGCCTGCTTTTAAAAGAGGAGGTGACAGAGATAAACTACAAAGGGAAGCATTTTGGATCCACTCTTTACAGACAGTCAACCCTGGAGGATTTAATGAGGAGTTGGTGTTGAACTGCTTTCTTTGACTTTTGTAATTTCATGTATTCATATTTGATGGAACATGATGGACTGTTGTACATTATTATTTTGTCAGTGATTATTCTCATTTATCACAGATGTCTCTCTTTTGGGCTGATTGCCCAACTTGTCCCTGATTGGCTTAGATGCCCTTTGATCTCTCTATAGACTCGCTGTTGACCAGAGGTCTGCACTAAGCTGATGACAGCATGTAGCTGAAATGCACCCCTTTTCTGCCCTTATTAAAACCCTTTTGGAGTGCTGGGGATTCAAAGTTATTTGTAATATATTTCAAGATGTCCTGTTTTACAAGCAAGCTGGTGCAAAACATTATGAACATTTGAACAAAAGCTCTGTTTCAGTGGACTGTTCTATGAAATGCATGCCAAGGTCAGAATGAGTTTTATTTATTATTTATTTATTTATTTACTGTTATTTTACCAGGCAAGTCCCATTGAGATCTCAGATCTCTTTTTCAAGGGAGGCCTGGGCCTGAAGGCAAACTTTTGTACATGTTTTGGGAGGTGGGGGAAACCTGAGTACCCAGAGAAAACCCACACAAGCACGAGGAGAACATGCAAACTCTGCACAGAAAGACCCCAAGTCCGAACCGGGAATCAAACCCAAAACCTTCTTGCTGTGAGGCGTCGGTGCTAACCACTGAGCCATCGTGCTGCCAGTTTTAATTTGACTGGAACGGTTTGGTGTAGTCAAATAAAATATCTGAATCTATTTTTGTCAAATTTTCCGTTATTTTTTACTCTGCATTAAAAGTACAGTGGAAGTATAACTATAAGGTTATTTGGAGTGTACTGGAAAATGTATTTTATACACTAAACAGTGAACTAAAAGGTATTTAGTGAACTAACAGCAACCCTAAAATGTTTCTTTCAGTAAACTTAAGTGTACTTTTAAATAATAAAATGGCACTAGAGGTTTACTAGCAGTAGGCTAAACTTTTAATGTCTTTACTTTAGTATACCCAGAAGATTACTTTCAGTTTACATTCAATTGTACTTTGATAAACTTAATGTATACTTAAGTTTATTATAAGTAAACTAATAGTATACCTAAAAAAAATACTTTCAGTATACTTTCATAAACTTAAGGTTGACCAATTTAGTCCCAAGAAGTTTACTTGTTAGTAAACTGCAGTATACTTACATCTGTGTATTGGTAAACAAAAGTACATCTAGGGAAAATCACTTTTATATACTTTAGTATACTTAATAATGTACTTAAAGTATACTTATTTTGGTAAGAGCGACTCTCAGTTATGGTAATATGCGTTTTCAATGCACTTGCAAATATTTAAGTAGCTCAACTTCATGTGCTGCTGTCTTTTGTCTGTTTCTGGGCATGTTAACAATGCGAAAAAACACTTTCTAAATAAAACTCAGTTTACTGTGGAAGACAAAACATGTACATATTTTAAATAAACAGTAACCTACAAGTGCTTCTTAACACCACACATTTAAGTTTCTCTTTCGTCTTGAACATGCAGAAAATGTATGCCGAAAAGCATAAGAACCAACTAAGTACACAAGTTGAAAAAAAAATAAATAAATAAACCGCATCCATATTCGCCATAAAAGCAGCGGACATGTCACTGGGTGGAGTAGCAAAATAAATGACTCACTGTTTCCCCCAACATTAAAAATTTACACTCGACAAAGTTATAAATATTTAGACTATACATGGGTTATAACTGAAACAATGCGATGTTCTCCACGAGTCAACAACGAAATATATACTTTACTTCACCTTTTCGCGTGTAGTGGTCGTGCCCAAATTAGGGAGGAACATTGGCGGAGGAACCGTTTCACATCGAACTTATTTTGACGACGGACCGCGGTTACGCAACAGCTTAGTTTCAGACCAAACAAAGTAAACAACATTTTCACAATTTGTAAAAATCCATAACGCATACAAATTAACATTGATTCAACACTGTATAAAGTTAAAGGTTTAAATAGACGCAGCCACGTCGTTACGCAAATGTTTAGCGCCGCCTACTGGATCCGGCGCGCAATAATGCGTGGGACAGAAAGTGAAGTCCGTCAGTGATGTCTGCTTGTATTTGACATCTTTGTGTATTACATGTTTTAACTGAAGCAGAGAAAAGTTTCAGGTTGTTTCTGTATATTTTGTCAGGGAATGCTCCAGAAATGTATGTAGATTCAATTGTGTTTCTGTTCATCAACTGGGATAATAAAAAAAGGTATCATTCATTCATTCATTCATTCATCTAGGAGATCAAATTACTGAATCTGTGTGGAATTATTTTTGATATGATCAACCACTCAGCAACCATCAGGCAGAAACATTTTGCAGGATTATACTCCTCTCATATTAAAAATGAGCAAATTTGTCAGAATCTAACTAATAATGTTCAAAGAGGTCAGTAATGAGCATTCACACAGTTATACACATTATACACACTGGTACTTCTGCATAGAAAGGCTATTTAAACTTTAAACAAAACACAAGATATTCAGTGACTCATATTTTAAGTGTTTTATGCAGTGCTATTCAAGCAATTTAATATGGTCTAATTTTCATTTTTCATGATTTAAAATCTAATCTTAAAGTCACTGGCATTTAAATTGAGTTGTATAACCTTTGAACCTATGCCAATTTTTAGCAATTTAGATTACTGAAATGCTTGTTTTAAGCTCAGTCTTCTGGGTATAAATTACTTTAATTAGCTGCAAAATGCTCCTCCCTAACAGTATTCCCTAAATACTCCCTAATATGTTTCCCTAACAGACAAGGCTGATTCCATTATACTGAATGACAAAACAGACAAGCCAAACTTACAGAGACCATTTTAATTTGAAATACTTTATAATAGAGCAATTGTTATTTATTATAATCTTTCAAAAGAAAATCATTGTCAAAGGGCAGAAACAAGCAACAAGAGAACTTCACTAAATTTCCAAAAATATGCATAACCCATCCAATGAAACTGGTAACAGATGCTCCTTAATCCATAGCTGATTGATGCTCAGCCATACTGGACCATGGGGTGATCAGACCAGGGAGGCAGGCTGGACAGTTTCTCCTCAGTAGCTGCCTCAATGGGCCATCCCCAGGCTTTGAAGAATCCAGTCAGATTCAAGCCCACAGTCTGAGAGAAAGTCTCAGCGTACAGATTCATCTTTCCTTTGTTGTCTCCAGGAAAGTTGCTCATACTGTGGTAGGCAGCAAACACCTTCTTAAAGGCATCCCAACCAAACCTTTCCTGGAGCTTTGAAGACAGTGAAAAAAAATAACCAAAAGCATAATTTGGATCACATTCTTTTTAATGTGAAAAGTTGTTTTGTTTGTAATTTAAAGTTTCTTTACAAAGTATAAATTTCTTACCTGCAAATAAGTCTCCAGAGCCACCCACATGTCCCAGCCACTCAGCTGTCTGCCCCCTGCCACGTAGTTCTTTGCTCGAGCGCTTCGTTCTTCTGCAGTTATAGCTGGATGAGCCTACATTCATCAAAGTGAATCAGTGTAACTTTGATGCCTCCAAAAAGCTAAAAATGATCACATTAAATGAGCCAAAAAACAGATAATATCTTCTGGTTGTGAGTTTACCTTTGCCCTGTTGATGCCCAGCACCTCCTCATGCACGTACACTGACCACAGGTTGCATGTGCACTCTGTAGTGTGTGACGGGAACTCCCAGCAGCCTCTCTGCTGGTTGTGTCCGAGCTCATGGACGGGGCCCCAAATGCCGTTAGTTCTTGCATTTTCAACGTTGAGCAGCTCAGATGCACAAGACTGATGAGCCATGACGGGATAACCTGCATGCATCCAACCTGAACAGAAAAACAATAAGGAAGGAAAAAAATACATAGCTTTTTATTTTTTGGTTGTGGTGGGGGGTGAGAGACTCGTCAGGATGAGGATATTAGTATACACTGCAGTGTAACAAAAAAACTTCTGTGGTGATATGAGTGTGCCCATCCTCTTGGTGGCAGTGTCTGCATATTTGCCTTTATTTATCTTTACCTACATATTGATGAAGAAAAGTACAGAGTGGTTGTATGTTAGCAGGTGTGGAACTGAATTCAAGCTGACTAAGTTCTCTGCAGTTTCACTGAAACACCTACCATGTGAAATCTGCACCTCCGTTACAAATCGCTCTTTCCGAGGAAACTTGTGTGGTATGGCAGCCAGGTCAGCAATGGCCCTCATGATGTCATTCCACAGGGACGCCACCTCATCAGGACGCTCTAGGTTTCTTACAGCATCCGATGGTACAGTGAGGATGATGTTGTCAAACTCTAACTCTGCCCAGGGTGAAGGAGCTGTACGCAGCAACAACCAATCAGCTTCAGTTGTCACACCTAGGGGAGAACACAAATGTTGTCATAATAGAACAATTAATTATCATACAGATATTAAAAAATACCAAACAAAAATCTGAACTTTTAGTACAGACATCTTTAAAATTATTATTTATCGCTACACCAGAATGTGACATAAGCACTACTTTAATACAGGTCCAATTATAGCGTATAAGTAGTTTAATTCTGAATCAAAAATGTAAGAAAACATATTCATATCATATAAAGTATACTTTTTTTACAAAAACCTTTGTTTCTGCTCTCAAAAAACACATCTTTGTCACCAAGTAGGATAAGATTTTCTTCCTCAGAGCCAAGAACAAACAGCGACATACATTCCTCTGTAAACACACCTGATTTATAATAGGGCGCAGGAACAGCCATCTGCACAGTGGCCTCCACTCCTTGCACCTGTGTTTGGGGTGGAGCCACCAGGTAGATGAGTCCTCCCCACAAGTTCCACACCTGGATCATCTCTGAGGTAACAGGAAATCGCTCATGAACACGTGGAGGTCTCTTCAGCTCTTCAGCGTGGAGTCGATCTGTTTGACAGCCAATTTGAATCTAGAAAAAACATAATAAAATTATTCATTTATTTTATATATATACACACATATATACACACACACACATATATATACACACACACACACACACACACTTGGAAATGAGATCCATAAAATCCCTAAATTTCTGAATTCTAATTGGTCCTAAAAGAGCAACTACTTGTTTTACTTTGTCAGCTTTTTTGATAATTATGGACACATTAGTATAACTCTGATTTCCTGCAGTACTGTTACTGTAAAACAGGTACGATCCTTCAGTCCCATTTAGTCTTTCTGTTACATCACATTCATCCTGATGTATTTAGAAATCATTTTTACACGAGTCAAAATGAGAAGAAATTGAGTGAATGTTGTAAAAAGTTAAGTATTGTGAGATACACTACTCACAAAAAGTTAGTAGGTAAATAAATAAGGACACAAAAGTATTAAAATACAGTGGTTTGCAAAAGTATTCATACCCCTTGAACTTTTCCATATTTTGTCACATTACAACCACAAACATAAATATATTTCACTGGAATTTAATGTGAAAGACCAACACAAAATGGTATACAATTGTGAAGTGGAAGCAAAATTTTACATGAATCAAAACATTTTTTACAAATAAAAAACTGAAAAGTGCGACGTGCAAAAGTATTCAGCCCCCTTTTCCCTGAGTGCAACCAATTGCATTCAGAAGTTGCCTGATGACTGCTAATGACTCAAAAGGGTCCACCTGTGTGTAATCTAATCTCAGTACAAATACAGCTGCTCCGTGACGGCCTCAGATGTTGGTTAAGAGAATATTGGAGAGCAAACAGCATCATGAAGTCCAAAGAACACACCAGACAGGTTAGGAATATGGTTTTGGAGAAGTTTAAAGCAGGCTTAGGTTATAAAAAGATTTCCCAAGCTTTGAACATCTCACGGAGCACTGTTCAATCCATCATCCGGAAATGGAAAGAGTATGGCACCACAGTAAACCTGCCAAGACAAGGCCGTCCACCTAAACTTACAGGCCGAACAAGGAGATCACTGATCAGAGAGGCAGCCAAGAGGCCCATGGTGACTCTGGATGAAATGCAGAGAGCCACAGCTCAGGTGGGGGAAACTGTCCACAGGACAACAATTAGTCGTGCACTACACAAATGTGGTCTTTATGGAAGAGTGGCAAGGAAAAAGCCATTGTTAAAAGAAAACCATAAGAAGTCCCGTTTGCAGTTTGCCAGAAGCCATGTTGAGGACACAGCAAACATGTGGAAGAAGGTGCTTTGGTCAGACGAGACCAAAATTGAACTTTTTGGCCACAATGCAAAACGCTATGTGTGGCGGAGAAAGAACACTGCACATCACTCTGAAAACACCATCCCCACTGTCAAATATGGTGGTGGCAGCATCATGCTCTGGGGGTGCTTCTCTTCAGCAGGGACCGGGAAGTTGGTCAAAGTTGATGGGAAGATGGATGGAGCCAAATACAGGGCAATCTTGGAAGAAAACCTGTTGGAGTCAGCAAAAGATTTGAGACTGGGGCGGAGGTTCACCTTCCAGCAGGACAACGACCCTAAACATAAAGCCAAAGCTACAATGGAGTGGTTTAAAAAAAGAATATTCATGTGTTAGAATGGCCCAGTCAAAGTCCAGACCTAAACCCAATTGAGAATTTGTGGCAAGATCTCAAAACTGCTGTTCACAAACGCTCTCCATCCAATCTGACTGAGCTTGAGCTGTTTTGCAAGGAGGAATGGGCAAGAATTGCAGTCACTAGATGTGCAAAGCTGGTGGAGACATACCCTAAAAGACTTGCAGCTGTAATTGCAGCAAAAGGTGGCTCCACAAAGTATTGACTCAGGGGGGCTGAATAATTTTGCACATCGCACTTTTCAGTTTTTTATTTGTAAAAAATGTTTTGATTCATGTAAAATTTTGCTTCCACTTCACAATTGTATACCACATTGTGTTGGTCTTTCACATTAAATTCCAGTGAAATATATTTATGTTTGTGGTTGTAATGTGACAAAATATGGAAAAGTTCAAGGGGTATGAATACTTTTGCAAACCACTGTATATGTTTAGAGCTGCATTCCTGCAATCACCAACCTACCAGAAAGTCATTGGCAAGAACTAAAGGTAAGTAAAAGTACATGATGTCAGTTGTACTGGGGTTTGAGATGGCTGGTTGGATACACGGGTTTGTTCAGGAGCACAAAAACATCAAAAACAACAGAGTAAATAATCATCTGACTTTGTGTAATAGTACCTGCCATCCATTACTGACAATCTCTGCAGGCATGGAGATGTAGGTCTTCATACCAGGAGAGAGATAGAGACCTGTACTGATCCACTCCTCCCCACCTGTTAAACACACACACAAACACATATGCACTGTAAAGTTAATAATACCTTATGTGTGTTAATATAACCAATGAAGTAACAGCTCAAACAGATTTATATAGTGTACATGAGTTTCAACAATCATTCATGTGACATTCATATTTAAAATCCCAACCTCCTGTGTTAACATCGATCTTGATTTTGTGGTTGTAGACAACTGGCAGCAGTGGGTTATCCTGGATGAGGTGGGGCAGAAGGGCATCTGGATCTGGGCAAACCTTATAAACCTCTGTCCCCACGCTGAGAAGAAGGTGGTCTTTTGGACTTGTGATGGGACAGGAGTCACTAACCTTGGCAATGAAAATGAGGAAATTAAGGGTTGAGGTATAATAAACTCTGGTTTACATGTTCAAAAAAGCATCAACCACTATAGTTTTGTGTTGTTCCATAAACATGTTTTAAAATGTGTAAATTTCATCCTGTATGCTCACCTGTGGCAGACCTGACTTCTTTAAGACATCTGTGAGTGTGGCCACTACTTGTGTGTAGGAGCTGCAGTTATGAGCTTTCATGTTCAAGTAGGTGGCACAGTCGGTACCCAGCTTCTTGAGATGTTCTTCCTCATGTTTGCTGAGTTCTTCACCCACAGTTACATGTCTGGCAAAGCGATGTAGAAGGTGACGGAAGTGGTAGGTGTTTTTCATAGCCTGGCTGGGAACAGGAGCCTTGTATACACCTCCGGAAAGCGTTGCCCCCAACAGGCTCAAACCCATTTTGTTCAGGATTTTGTTCCCTGAGCAACATTGTAACAAATTAGTGGGGTTATAAGAACAGCTATGCATGAACACGTCATGAAGCTTCAATAAAATAAGTAAACCTAAAAAAAAAGGGATAAAAATTATTTCATAATGATGTGTGCTATATAAAAAAATGATCATTCTCAGTTATCGAAGCTAAAGGTGGTTCTACTAGGTACTGAATTGTTAAGTGTCTTAATTTCCTAAATGCTTTTTTGGGGTTTAGTTCTTGGTTAAATAAATAAAAGTTCCCATATTCCTTCAAAGAGCGTATAGTATCAACTGTCTTTCATGCTAGAGTTTTAGACTAAGAATATTTGTGTTGAGAAATGAAGGAGTTGTAGTCAGTTTGATCAAACCTTAAAATTAACATTATAATCACTTAATACAAAATTGCGACATCTCACATAATCTGCATGTGGAGCATGTGTTGTGAATGACACTACCAGTGGTGGGATGTAACTAAGTACAAGTACTTTCTTGCTGTACTTAAGTACATTTTTCATGTATCTGTACTTTACTTAAGTAGATTTCATCATGGGTACATTTTTCATGTATCTGTACTTTACTTAAGTAGATTTCATCATGGGTACATTTTTCATGTATCTGTACTTTACTTAAGTAGATTTCATCATGGGTACATTTTTCATGTATCTGTACTTTACTTAAGTAGATTTCATCATGGGTACTTTTGACTTTTACTCCACTACATTTTACATTAGGTATCTGTACTTTCTACTCCACTACATTTCTGTAGTGCGTTGAATTACAAAGTACATTCATGTCATGTCGATTTAGTTTTTATTTCATTTTATTTTATTTGTGGTTTATTTGATTTATTTTTTTTTTGTTAGAAAATAATCAGTGGCGAGAGGGGGGATTGCTGTACAGTAATTGGTCCATTGAACAAAGCAGGAAAGTACCATTACACCCTCCTTCATAAAAAAATCAGAGCATCAGCATGGCCACAATGGTTTCCACCACGGAGGAAATGTGCCATTCATGGCCTTATTTAACTGGTTCAAAAAATGACTTGTTGAGATTTGATAGAGGAGGTTGGTGGTGAATTTACATCTTCTGCAGCTGTTGTCACAATCTGTGATGATGCACAGAATCACAAGTGTGAACAGTGTCACAGAGTGTAAACACAAAACTATGCATTATCTGCAGCATTTTTCACTAAAATGGCACCATTGATGTATTAAAATATACATACAGTAGGCACACTTCATGATATTGTAGACCATTAGGGAATACATTAAGCAAGTACTTTTACTTTTAATACTTAAGTGAAGCTGTAACATCTATGCTCCTCAGTGGCATCTAAACATCTTGGGCCTTTTCTGGGTTCTTGTAATTTCTTTCTTGCCCATTTAAAGTGCCTGTGACATGCCTATTCTTCAATTACAAAAAGTCAAAGAAAATACCTTCATATTTAGGAAAATAGGCATAAAACACACAATTTCACCCATTTTGTCACATAACTGGCCTATTTTCCTTTGAATTTGGCTCATCTAAAGTGAAACAGGAAGTGACATCAAAGGGGAACTCTTTAAGAAAGAAAACTCCCTGGTCTTTGTTTATGGAAACAATATTTTTGAACTCTGACTCTTCTTCAGCTCTCTCTTATAGGGACTAAAATTACCTAAAGAAACAAGATTCCCTGCTTTCTGTGTTGTTAGCCATTGTAGCAATGCTCTGTCCACATGCACACATTCCCCTTTGACATCACTTCCCGTTTCTTCACATGCAAACATCTCAACAACTGTTCATCTCGGTGGTGTGAAATTGCTTTTGCAATACGTTATCACTTCCAAAAGTGCATTCATATTGACCACAAAAATTTTATGTCACATGCACTTTAATGTCTTCATCACTATCCATCCATCCATCCATCCATTTTACCTGCTTTTTCATGTAGGTTTGCTGGTGCCCATTATACAACAGGCAGTATCTACCCTGGAGAGGTCTACCCCAACTCTCTCACCTAAAGCAAGTCCCTTTATTTGGTTGCCATTTATCAAAAATTGCCAAAAAGTATCTTATTGCCCACCACTGAAATATGGGCCATAATACTTTTGATTGTGTGTTCCTGTGTCAAAATATCTAATGAAGTCCTAGACAAATTTGAATGAAACTTGATGTACAACTACAATCACTTAGCTTTTTTTGGAGTCAGTCCAATTCAAGATGGCCACCACAGCTAATCACCATTACCCTATACACAAATGGCTATACTTCAGTTAATTGTACAGATTTTGTGCTAAAATTTGATGTAGTAGGTGTGAGTTATTCACAACACATACTCTGAGAGTATCGCATGAGATTGTGCAAAACTTTATGCTAAATGTTTGACTAAAAACGACTACAACTCTATCATTTTTCAACATGATCTTAGTTCAAAACTGTGGCATGAAAGGCTGCAGATATGCTTTGTCTTCGTTTTGATTTTCTTCATTCATTTCTCAAACATTTCATTTTATCTATAGGCAACTTTATTTACAGTGAGATATTCTCAGTTCAGGAAAACATCTGTGGATCATTTTACATCTGCATCGAGCATAGTCCTTTAACAATTATCTACCAAACTAACACAAGTTAGACACATTTATCTTCATCTTGATAAATACAAAAAACACATTCTACCTCAGGTCAGACATGTTGTCCAATCCAAAGTGATATGGGATCTACTTCCTCTTTTAGAACGTCCTGTGTTCTAGAAAATCCAGCGTTTATGTTTGGTGCCCCCAGCTACCCACACAGGTTAATTTCACTTAGCATAAGCTGCATTTTTCTACAATGAACACATATTGTAACTTAAGTTTTACCATTACTAATCCTATTTTTATTTTACAAAAAAGAGCCATAAGAATTATTACAAGAAAGAATTACTAACACCCAACATATTGTTTCATCAATTAAAATTGTTGAAATTTCATGAGTTAGTTAGTTATAACATTCTGCAGGTTATGAATAAGGCTCATAGAAATGTGTTGCCGTCAAACATCCAATCACATTTTGTTAAGAGGGAAAGCTGCTATAATTTGAAGGGATTACAAATGTTTGTTAAACCGAAAATCAGAGCAAATTTGAAGGACAGATGCACTTCAGTAAAAGATATGACTGTGGAATAATCTGGAGGAAGACTATAAGAGCATTGGATCAGTTAATTACTTTAAGAAAACGATCAAGGAAAATTTGTTAAAGAAATATGAAATTGTTTAATTTGTATTAGTTACTGTCTGAGGAGGTGAATTTTTTGTTTTTATTTGGTTTATCATTGTTTAAAATATTTATTTTTTTTAAAAAAGGAGCAGATTTCATAAGAATTTTTTCTTCTGCTGCTGCCTGTCATTTTATTTTATTTTGTATCGTTTTGTTGTGTGTGAAATGTTTTGTTTGTTTTTAATGAAATGAATAAAAATTTGAAAAAACTTGAAGTTAATGAACAAGTACCTTGGTGTTCTGTTTGACTCAAATCTTACTGTTACGCAACATATTAAGACGACTTCAAATTTAATAAAATTCAACTTGGCAAATTTTTGTCACATTAGACCATTTCTTACTTCACATGTGTGCATGCATTTTTTTCTCATACATCTTTTTATTTCATATCTTGGTCTCATACAACAGCAAATGTATTAAAATGAAACAAGTCTCTCTTCAAAAAGACAATAAAGACAGAAAACCTTATGTTCACAACTAATATCAATAAGTACAAGATTTGGACTTCAAAAATGATCAACGTTTCTGTAATTTAAGTCTTAGGGCCTTGGATGTGCTCCTCCACCTCTAGACTTTTTTATTCAGAAGTCCAAATCCAGAATAAACACTAGATCTCAGACTAGAGGGGATTGTGATAGCAAGACAGAGAATGGAGTTTGGGTGAAAGGTGACGTCAATCACACTAATGGAATGGACAACCAGAAGATATTAGAGACTGTGATAGTTATTTCATTTTTAAAAGGAAACAAAGTATGGCTTAAAGAAAATCAGTCACGTATTCATCTGTAAAATAGTTATATTTTAACTGTGTACCTTGCAGTGTGTGACGTTTGCATGCTTTGTTGAATTGTTTTAATCGATTGTTGTATTTGTTTTGTGTACTTACTTTACAATTTTTTTTATCTGCTCAAGACAACAGATGAAATTTAGCTGTTCTGCTAATTCTGGCACAATTATATTCAAAGAATATTGATTAATAAATACTGTTCTTTTAAAGAAATACATTAAAATAATAATTTCTTTATTCTTGTAATCTTACCTGAGAACTCTGTTAGTGGGTTTTGCCCAAGATGGGTCTGTGCCCAGTACCAGGCATGTCCACCCATCAGAAGGCCTCCGCCCTCGGCTACAAAGTTTTGGATTTCTTCCAGACGGTCATCGCTGTACGCTGTGCACACAAACACACTCAGGTCTGGTTTGAAGCCTGTTGTCTCACACTGCAGACCCGATCTGGACAGCATGTTGAGGGCATTGTCCGGTGCTACACCAATGACCCCCCTGCGGCCTTCGTCCAGCCAGTGAATGGCATTGTTCCAAAACTGAGCAAGGTTCTAGATTAAAAGCAGGAAATTTAAAAAAAAAAAAAGCCAGAAATTTTTATTTTATTAAAAAATATTTCTCAAACTTCCTTAAAACTGTCTTAGTATAAATCACTTTCTATTTCTACAATGTTAACAACTGCACCTCGTTCCACAGAAGTCCTTCATGTGTCGCCACGATGACCCGGCCCTGGCCATAGTAGGCTCCAGCCAGGAACGCCTGTCCACTGCCTGTTGTACCGATTGGGAAGGCAAGTGGGCCATGGACCAGAACCTCAGAGGCAGTTAGTCCATCTGGGAGGTTAAACTCTGATACCCCCTGGAGTAAAAACTGCAAGTCATCCTCAAAATCCTTACCAGTCCTGTATTAAAGAAAGGAGAAGATACAATGAATGACAAAGATGGAATTTAAATAATAATAATAATAATTAATGTGTCATTTTGTGTTTAGATTGTTTGTTGAGTGTAAAACAAAGAGTTAATGACTTTAACTGACAACTAATACTTTGGGATTATGTAAACACACAAAGGATGCAAATTTTAAGATATTCTTATGGAAGTCAATTTTCTTTAAATTATTACTATCAAAAGGTACAACTGTATATTTATATAGAGCCATATGCTTTGACTGGTTAGGATCAGAGAGGACAAGAAAGTGACAACAACACAGAATGACTGATCCAGGTGCAATTTCTTTGAGAAGAAAAAAAAATGTTAATGAAAGCAATAATTACAAATACAAACATAGAAAGGAAAGCAAGTAAAGACAGCAGTAAAGTGATGAAATGCAGTCAGTTTGTCCTCGGGCAGTGTTAAGATGGATTTATAGTCGGCATGAAGGTCTAGCTGATGTAGTAGCAAGATATGCTTTTGTCCAAGAATATTTTACACTCAACAATTAGGAAGCCTCACCCCACCGTTGTGTAAAACATTAATAAAAACAAAACAAAATGATTTGTAAATCATGTTGAACTTCTGTTCAGTTTTATACATTACAAATACAAGATATTTAATGTTCAAACAGGTAAACCTTTTTTGTAAGTATTCATTTATTTTGAATTTAATGCCTGCAACATGTTCCAAAAAAAGCTGTGACAGGGTCATATTTACCACTGTGTTACACCATTGACAACACTCAACAAGCATTTGGGAACTAAGGACACTGTTGAAGCTTTGTAGGTGGAATTCGTTCCCATTCCTGCTTGATGAACAACTTCAGTTGCTCAACAGCCTGGAGTCTCCGTTGTTGTATTTTGTGCTTCATGCTCCACACATTTTCAATGGTAGTCAGGTCTGGACTGCAGGCAGGTCAGTCTAGTACCTGCTCTCTTTTACTATGAAGCCACACTGTTGTAACACATACAGAATAAGGCTTGGCATTGTCTTGCTGAAATCAGCAGGACATCCCTAAAATTAGGCTTGGCTTTTGATGGCAGCATACTGCATGTTGCTCCAAAATCTGTCAGTAGATTTCAGCACTAATGGTGCCATCACAGCTGTGCAAGTTATCCACCAACACTGAGCACTAATGCACCCCCATACCATCAGAAATGCTGGCTCAACTTTGCACAGATAATAATAGGACAGTCCTTTTCTTCTTCGGCCCAGACGACATGATGTCCATGATTTCCAAAAACAATCTGAAACGCGGACTCGTGCGACCACAGGACACTTTGTTTCAGTCCATCTCAGATTATCACAGGTCCAGAGAAGCCAGTGGTGTTTCTGGGTGTTGTAGATTTGGCTTTGCAGGATAGAGCTTTAACTTGCACTTGTAGATGTAGAGATGAACTGTATTCACTCTGACATGGTTTTCTAAAATGTGGTGATATCTGTTACAGAATGATGTCAGTTTTTACTGCAGTGCTGCCTGAAGGTTGAGTCTTTAATGCTGGTTTTCAGCCTTGCTGCTTACTTGAAGAGATTTGTCCAGATTCTCTAAATCTTTTGATGATTTTATAGACTGCAGTCTGTAGAAGATGAAATATCTAAATTCTAAATGTTGTCCTTAAACTGTTGGACTATTCGCTCACACAGTTGTTCACAAAATGGTGAACTTTGCTTTCTGACTGAGCCTTTCAGAGATAATTCCCTTCACACCCAATCATGACACTCACCTGTTTCCAATTAACCTGTTTACCAGTGGAATGCTACAAACAGGTTTTTGGAGCATTCTTCAACTTTTCCAGTCATTTGTTGCCCCTGTCACAGCCGTTTTTGTAATGTGTTGCAGGCATTAAATTTAAAATCAGTGAATATTTGCAAAAAATAAATAAATAAATAAGGTTTATCTGTTTGAATATTAAATATCTTGCCTTTGTAGTGTATTCAACTGATTATAGGGTAAAGTTTTTGAAAATCTTTGTATTCTGTTTTTATTTTTGTTTTAAACATCCCAACTTCAATGGACTTGTGTTCTACAAGTTAAATCATTTTATATCAGTTCCTGTGATCATAATATCATGTTCAAGCTTCTGTAAAAAAACAACAACAAAAGAAAAAACAATAATGTGATCAACTGCATGAAATGCTGACCTGATCTCTACATGGGTCAGCATGCAAACTCCACACAGAAAGTTTGTCAGGCAAATCAGACACATTGCTGTGAGGGAACGGCACTAGCCATCATAGCTATTTACACTGAAATTACAAACTGAGGTGCAAGATGTCAGTATTAGTAATACCATCTTTTGTCAAAGTGTTTTCTTTCTTTAGGTATAAAAGAAGAATGCATCTTAAACATAATAAAATGTAAAAAGTGTACACTTACACTATAGCCATATAGGATGATGGGATCTGCGGGTACACAGGAAGGTTTTCCACTTCAGCGACACGATCAGAGATGTAGACCCCTGCAACACCAGACACCTTGTTCCCATCAAAATTCAACAAGGTGTTCTCCTTTGGGTGATCTGCAGCCCAGCTCCACGCCTGACCCGCCATCAGCACTCCCCCTCCTGCTTTCAGAAACGCCACCAGGTCCTTCGGGTCAGCGCCCACGCTGTATGCATCTGTCACATACACAGCAGCTTTCAGGTCGTTACTAAAGGATCCCACCACTTCTGTTTGGAAGCTGGACCTGCTGAGGTTGTCAGCCACGGCCTGGACGTTTCTGTGCACGGCTACAGAAGGGTTGTCTGATCCATCTCCTCTCAGCCACTTCAGGGCGTTCTCCACCAGAGCAGGAAATAAAGTCAGGTAGTACTCATGACCGAGGACAACAATTCTCCCACTGCCGTACAGAGAGGCAGCCATCAGAACCTGGCCTTGGCTGTTCATGGCTAAAGGAAAGGAATGGTCTCCGATCAGAACCAGGTCGCTGGGTACACTGGGGCCACGGAAGTCCAGCTGTTTTAGACCTTGCATTAAAGACATGTAGGCAATTTCATGATCTCTTTGGACTGCCTGGTCAGACATGGTGAGATTACTTAAAACTAGAAATATTAAAGGGGAAATAAGATAGCAGGATAACGTTGTTCTATAATGGGTGAGTTGTGTCAGGCTGTCAGTCCTGTAGAAAAAAAGACAAATACAAAAGCTACTCGTGACAATCACATAAACACAGCACTGAGCTGCTCCAAAGACAAATATTATTTCTTTCTCTGCCCCAACCAACAACACAACACAATACCTCGGCGTTTGTATCCTGTTCCAGGTGAAGTTTGCTGAGATGTGAACAACCCGACACTTGAAGCGTCCCACTCCTGTATGCAAAGGGCAGAGAGAACCTGTACGTTTAAACAAACTAGTAGCCGAAAAACCTGGGAGGGGAGTGCCTTTCTAAGAACAATTACAATGAGAAGACGATTTTAGAGTACAGCCCCAAGGAAAGGCCGTGTGAAAAACAATACCACACCATTCTGGGTGTAACACACCCTGAGCCACGCTGCATGAAAAACCTGCTCATCATGTGGGCTACTACGTGTGGCTGGTGATAATATGAGCTGGAATTTGGTCAATAAAATAAAGAAACCTATAACGTGCACTTTTTTCTTTGTTTCTAACAAAAATAAAATAATTTAGAAAAAAAAAACACAATAATGTAATGCATATAATTAACCCACAAGCCATGTAGTTTTTTTCTGAGGGTTTTTTTTTTTTTTTTTTTTTTAAGTTTGTGGCTTATTTTCATGTCCTTTTGTTGGTCATGCACATTATTTTGCAGGACTGTATTTGGCAACCTTTCCCACATTCATGATGTTCTGCACTTTTGAAAGGAAGACAGGCAAATTTGGACCTGCTTTTCAATAAACACTTATCATAAGGGTGGATTTTAGACCTGGACCTTTGACGCAGATATTTTCTTTAATAGGAGACCAGCTTTAGGGCGTGTAGGAGACACCCTGTGGTAATGCATGCCCAGTGTTCAAAAATATGATGTTTTCCCTACTAGTGGTTATAGAAAACAATTTCATTAAAAATACAGTTTAATACAATGTCTACACGAGTCAACACAACAATAGAGTTGAAATATGTAACTCACCTTTTCAGGTCTTGAGGAAGTCTGTTCCCCCTGTGTCGGGAGCGCGCATTGCAGCCAGAGAGGTGGATCCGGCKGATMTGACCATTTTCACKGCGCTTCTGATCGATKTCTCGGTAAAAACKACTCRTATAATCATGTCANTGTTGTAACKTTCAGTTTAATCGGCAGCTATCAAAATAAAAAKWCWYACAWAAATAAACGAGGTCTTGTGTGGAGGTCTTTTTACGCTGTTTTGTGTTATTTTAAACGCGAAGAGAATCGATCTTTTTTTTTTTTCAGCTTTTGTCTCAGCCTGACAAATAAAAGTCAACAATAGTGTGCATTCATCATTTTTCATTTCTGATAAAGGAGGAGGGAAGCCATGGCTGATAGCAGGGCACAAAAATAAAGACTTCCTAAAAATCAGAGTGTAAACTTTTTGGTCAATCCCGTTCTAATGTAAAATATGACAGATTACTGGATTAAGGAAATGTCTAGTGTGCTACAACACATAATTTTTGAGAATTTGGAAACAGTTGCTTTTTATTTCCCGAAGATATGGGGGGAGAAGAGGAGAGAATGGATATTTCAGCTGCCTGATATAATCTGTTCCCCCTCTGTGAAATGGAAACAAAGTCATTTACCTGCAAGTTTTTTAACTGTGTTCATTCCCCTCATCATCAACAAGAAATCCTGTGATTTTCATAACATTTGTTCTTTTTTATTTTTTTTTATTTTTATTTTTTTTATTTTTTGCCAAAGTTAGGATGGGGGAACAAAATATTTTAACCACCTGTTACAATCTGTTCCCCTGTTATGCACAGAGGCAGTGCGGAACTTTTAACGGAGACACCGTTTCTGAACGAACGTATTTTGTCGACGGACCGCGGCTACTCAGCTCTGTAGACCAAAATTTTAAGGTTTGTTTTAGATAAAAACAAAACAAATGCTCGCTAGATGAATACGACATTGTTTAAAACAGACGGGGCCACGCAGAAAATCTGAGTAATAAAAACTTTCCCTTATCTTCTAAACCATTAAAGCCAGGCGGTGAAGGAGCAGGTTAAATGTCGTGTTCTCTGGTTGGCGTTTCTGGGTCCGTGATTCCTCTGGAGGATGGACGAGCTGTGATTCTGGGCCGGGGTCCAGAGACAGGGGTCACAGATAAAAAATGCTCCAGACACCAGGGTGAGACTCGCGCTTGCTTGATTCTTAACTTGTGTTTTTATTTTTTGATTTTATTTCTTAAAATTCATGTTACATCCATGTTCTTGGCAATATATATATA